AACCTCATTCGCGTCCAAAGTAGCTGGGACGCAGATGTCGGGGACGCGAATTGTATAAACAATTCGCGTCCAAAGCTACTTTGGACGCGAAAAATGATTAATCGCGTCCAAAGTTGAAGAACTTTGGACGCGATTTATCCGATCTGACTGTTGACTACTGACTTTTCGCGTCCAAAGTTGGTCAACTTTGGACGCGAAATGTCAGTAAATCGCGTCCAAAGTTCTTCGACTTTGGACGCGATTTATCATTTTGTTTTAATAAAATGATAATTCGCGTCCAAAGTTGAAGAACTTTGGACGCGAATTATTGTTTTTTTTTTATATATATTTTAATTTATTAATAAATCCAGTTTTTTTCCTGTACAAAAAATTATATTTTTCATCCTGTACATGTTCATCCTGTACATGCAGTCACAACCACTACCACTTCAAAGCTTTCAACTAAAGTTCAATACATCATCAATTTGTCAACACTTTAACACTAAATAATTAAACTACACTACTTCAACACATGTGTAATAAGCTAGATAAGTACACTACTTCAACTAAGTTCAATACATCATCAATACGCCAACACTTTAACACTAAATAATTAAACTACACTACTTCAACACATATGTAATAAGCTAGATAAGTACACTACTTCAACACATATGTAATAAGTTAGATAAGTACCAACAATACATCATTACAATTCAACTAACTAATATAATTAAATCACACTTCAAAAATTTATATACATTCTTGAGTAAAATATTTAGACCAAATCTCACGAACCTCATCAATTTGCGCTTCTGAATAAGGCTTTCTATTAAAGAATAATTCCTACAAAAATTTAAAATAATCAAATAATTAGTTTTAACATTACTAAAGTGTAATTTAAAACTATTTACTTTTAATAAATTTTACATACCATATCCAAATCATCAGAATCCCAACATTGAGTGCATATTTCATACATGAATCTCATCACATAATACCCGCACTCCACACCACCCGGTTGTTGAGGACACTAGAAAATATGTTTATATATTAATATTTTAAACAATAAAAATATTAATATGAAATATGAAAGATATATATACCTCAATGTGAACCCAATCAACGTTGTTTTTAGATCTTCTCCCTCCTAAAGTTTCAACCGATCGAAATGCCCTATAATATACAATCATAAATAATTTATAAACAATAATGGTTAATAATAATTCTCAAAATATAATATATATAAATAAATAAATATATATATATATATATATATATATATATATATATATATATATATATGTGTGTGTGTGTGTGTGTGTGTGTGTGTGTGTGTGTGTGTGTGTGTGTGTGTGTGTGTGTGTGTACTTACACATTCAATGTGGCCTTAATCTCAAACTCGCGATCACTTGTTGCAATGGAGTCTAATACATAGACTTTTCTTAATGGAACAGAAATAACTAGAAGCATCCAATGATTTTTAAGGCATTTAAATGAATATGTTAAGTGTTATTCACAAATAATGCAATTAAGTTAAACAAATAGTTAAAAATATAAATATAGTTTTCTTACTTTTCATAGTATGGAGCTAAAATGAAGTGTCGATTCGTCTGTTCAACCATGGCATTCACAAGATATTTTGAGACCTTATCAATATCCGCACGTACAGAGTCAGCACAAATAGTCCTTGGGCAGAGGAATCCAATTGTATGAACTCCAATTTTGGAGCACAACCGACTAAGACATCTACAACATATATATAGATAATTAATAAAAATGAACGACTAAAGACAAGTTTTTAAATATAAAAACATTATAAAAAATACTTACATTATAAATATTTGTAATATGGTCACATCAAGCCATCGCATCGTCAACAAGTCTTTAATATCTTGAAACAACACGTGAATGAAATCCACTTCTTGATGATGGAAGATTGCCTCATCTAGATCCACGTTAATGTAATCTAAATCGAAAGGCAGGTTCTTAATAAGTCTGACCAATTTCTTAGATTCATCTCCCAATTGCTGCAGTGTATTATCATCAACAAGAAGTGGTCGTAATTGGACAGCAGATTGATCACCACTTTCAAAATTCATCATTCGGGTTTGTTTTGGATTTTCCTATGAATCAAAAGTAAAGACATAATAACAAGTAGATCGAATATCAAATATTCAAAATATTAAAGATATTCAATATTACCTTAACTTTGTTGACTTGATCAATAGAATGACAACTGCTCCGAGTTGGTGTGCCAACTTTTGGACTTGCTTGTACATTCTTCATCAAATATTCCAGTTGGGATTGCATCAAATCAAACTTGGGCTGCATATCTTCCATTGTTTCTTTTCTAATCTTTTCAGCCACTTTGTCATATATTCTCTTCTCTATGATCTTCTCCATATCACTAACTGAAACAAACCCAGCTGAATTTCCACGACTTATGCTCTCCGATTTTCCAAACACATCCCTAATATTGGAGTACACTCCAACACCTCTCACATAGCCACCGTACTCATTGGTGCCAAGAGCTGTTGTCAATACATCATTTTGCCTTTTTGGTTGGAATGAGCCTTGACTTATCTCTTCACACTTCTCAACCTATATTTCAACACAAAAAAAAAAAGATTTAAAATTTACAATTTACATGTTAGCTAGTAATCTCGTCAATAATATATATATATTTAAAGTATTTGTATTACTTACAATTTTATCCAACACTCCCTTCATTTTTTCATTGGGAATGTAATAACTTCCATCTTCAGATTTTTTAGATCGCGCTCGAACCCAATCCAAACTACGATCAGTAGATGATATGTTCGAGGTAATAGCCGCACAAGAAGATTGTGAAGACAATGGGTCGCATATCAACCACTCAGACTGCTTTCCAACATAGCCCGTAGACCCTAAATAGTGAGGATACACATTTCACGCTTGCAACTCCCTATACTTTTGACTGTTGGCCTGCTTACACAAAAGTTATTATTCAATAATATGTTAATAATAACCATGTTACATGATTATTAAGGAATTAAATTATGTACTGTACCTTGGCAGCTTCAGTTTCATGCGTGGTTACAAATTGCTCCCATTTTTTTTCATCCATGAACTTATATAACTCACAGGGAGAGCTATATTTTTCGTTCTGTTTGTTGATGAAGTCACGGACCAATCTTGTTTTGAAATCTTTCCAACGTAGCCGTGCATGGACCAAAATATGACTTCTTCTCGACTCAGGGATATTAAACTCTTTCTGAAAAACAACAATAAAATAACAAATAATTAGGCCTTTATTGACATTAACATATATAAACTAATGAACTCAAAACTAAAATGAAATAATGATCAATATATAAATTAAATTATTGACTATTACCTTAAGTTCATCCCAGACTGCATCTTTAACCGCAGTTGGAACAAGACGCCAGTGTGGAATGTTTATGTCTATGTGAATACGAACCATAAGGCCAAGGTAATTTGAGTACTTCCTTGCATTTGGCCCAAGAGGCCTATTCTTCTCATCAAACTCAATTGCCTTAGACTCATCCTCTGGTCTCTTCTTTGTCATTTTACTGCAAGTTGTAGCTCCTCTTGCTTTACGCACTTTGCTCTCTGTTCCCTTTGAAGATTCCTCCACCACCGGATCTGTGTGATCGTCAGCCATGTATATATATACCTGCACATGCATAAGATAAATATGTTATAAAGAACATCTTATAAAATATAACCATGTTAAAAAATAATAATAAGATTACATTATAGAAATTATACTGTCGGATGGTCAATCCACAATCCTTCTTCATGATCAGTACGCATGTAATTAGTATCAATGTTATCTTCACATAAAGTCACATGTTGAATACCAATAGAAAATGGTGGGGTTTCATCAAATTGGTCATATTCCTCTTCATCAACAACATCACCAACACCAACAATACTTCTTTTGCCTTGTAAGACAATTGACCACTTACTATCAATAGGATCAGAAACATAGAAGACTTGTTTAGCTTGAGATGCAAGTATAAACGGTTCATCATGATATCCTAGCCGACCAAAATCAACTAAGGTAAAACCCAAATCATCTACACGGACACCCCGCCTGTTATCAACCCAAGAACATCGGAATAGAGGAATCCTAAACACCTTATAATCAAGTTCCCAGATTTCATCAATGACTCCATAGTATGACATAGTAGCATCTACCGGGTTAGTATCTTTAGCACTAGAATACTCTCTTGATTGTGCTACTAATGTCACTCCACTATTTTGCACTATACTTTTTTTATCTTGACATTTTGTGTAAAACGTATACCCATTAATATCATATCCCTCATAAGTGCTCACAACAAATCTAGGGCCATAGGATAACCATCTAATGGTTTCAGTGATATTATTTGGCACTTGAGATAACTCTTGCATCACTGTATCTTTGAACCATGTGATAAATGTAGAATTGTGTTCTTTTGTCACCCACATTTCACCTTTAGAAGGATTTTGTTGCCTTATAATAGACAAGTGTTGTTCCAAATATGGATGAACCTCAGAAAGCTGCTGCAGTACGAGATGATGTGCTTGATTTCGGATTATTTGACTTGGGACATGTGTTTTAAACCCAATGGTACCTTTTCCTGTGAGTCTTCCCTCATGACGTGATTTAGAAACACCAATGGACTAAACATTAGCTAAATAATCAGTACAAAAATCAATCACTTCTTCAGCGCCATAAGCTTCAATTATACTCCCCTCTGGCCGATATCGATTTCTCACATATCCTTTCAAAATTCCCATGTATCTCTCAAATGGATACATATACCTCAAGAATACAGGACCACACATTTTAATTTCCCACACCAAGTGAACTGTTAAATGCACCATAACATCAAAAAATGATGGAGGGAAATACATTTCAAACTGGCATAAAGTTACTACCACATCAGCTTGCAAAGAATCCAACACCTCAGGATCAACAACTTTACTACTAATGACATTGAAAAAGTAGCAAAGCTTTGTAATTGCTTGTCTAACATGGTTAGGTAATATGCCTCTAATAGCAATAGGTAACATATGTTGCATTAGCACATGGCAATCATGTGATTTCATACCAACCAATTTAAGGTCCTTCATTGAAACAAGCTTTTTAATGTTAGATGAATAGCCAGAAGGAACCTTGACACCATTTAGACAGCTACAAAAACTTGTTTTTTCCTTTTTAGACAGAGTATAACAAGCTGGAGGTAAGTATGCCCTCTTTCCAGATTCCTGTGCTGCTAATTGAGTCCTTATCCCCAATTCTACCATATCTTTTCTAGCTTTAATACCATCTTTCGTCTTACCTTGAATATTCAACAATGTCCTGGTAATGCTATCACAAATATTTTTCTCCACATGCATTACATCAAGACAATGTCGAACAGATAAGTGCTCCCAATATTTTACTTTTCCAAAAATAAACATCATATTTTACAATAATACACAACAAATTTGTCAACAATGCCTAACATATATAATAATACACAACAAATTTGTCAACAATGCCTAACATGTACAATAATACACAACAAATTTGTCAACAATACCTAACATATACAATAATACACAACAAATTTGTATATAATAATTCACAATTAACCTAATCCAACCTTTAGAGATGGTATCAAACCAAAACAATAAACAACAATAACAAATAATACACAATAAACAACAATAACAAATATACAATAATACACAATAGACAACAATAACAAATAAAAAAATTAAAATAAAATTAAAATATACAATAATCTAGTAAAGAATATCATATTTATTTGATCATTATCTTTATTTTTATGTGTATCTTTATTATTTAAAATAAAATTTGTGTATATTTTTATGTGTAAAGAATATACAATTCTTAATATTCTGGTTTTTAATATTTCAAAAAAAAAAAAAATTAAAAACAGATCGACGACTCACCTGCGTCGTCGATTACTGGAGGCGCGCCGGCGTTCGTAGCAGAGGCGGTGGTTGGCGCCGAGCAGCAGCGGCGACCGGCGGTGGTTGTGCAGCGACCAGCAGCGGCGAGCGGCGAGCGGCGGTGGTCGGCGTCGGTGCGAGGCAGCAGCGGTACGTGGTTGGCGTCGGTGCGAGGTAGCGGAGACCGGCGAGCGAGCGATTGGCGATGAAGGGCGATGAACGGTTGAACGGCGATGGGCGATGAAGGACGGCGGACGGCGGATTGGGCGGCCGGATTGAATGGTTAGGGTTGAATAATGAAGAACTGATCGATGGATTTGGGGGAGGGAGGGGATTAGAAAGCTTTTTCGCGTCCAAAGTACTCAACTTTGGACGCAAATTAAAGCCTCTTTTAATTATTCGCGTCCAAAGTTCGAAACTTTGGACGCGAATTTAGCCAGTATTTAATTATTCGCGTCCAAAGTGTGCAACTTTGGACGCGACTAATTTAAAAAAAAATATATATATATATATATATATAATATATATATATATATATATATATATAATATATATATATATATATATATATATATATATATATATATATATATATATATATATAATATTATATATATATATATATATATATAGAGTGGCAATTTAATTACAAAATTGCCACCGCACTACACATTCGGCGTCCGAAGTTCAAACTTTGGACGCGAATTATTAGATTTTATTGATATTTTTTGTACTAGTGTAATCATATAAAAAATGTATTTTGGAAAAATAAAATAGCTATATATTATATAATCATGTAAAAAATGTGTTCAGTTAGAGTTTAAATTTACTCATTCAAAATTGAAATTTACTTTCCAAATGTAATTATCTTAATTATTATTCGTATTGTGAAAATTATAATATAGATGAAATACAATTAAGAATAAATCAATGTAATTATGTAAATTATCTCTATAAGTTTATTTGAATATGCACATAATTAGAGATTATATTATGATCTTGTGAAATGCAGACAGTGCATTATATAAAAAGAATATAAATATTTAAAAACTACACTTCTGGCTATCTATTCTTAAATTTTTTTTCATGGTTCATGCATAAATACTTGGTATCCCACCGTTGTGAGTTCAATCATACTATCTCATATCCAAGAAGACTCTTTATTAAACAATTAACCATACAAAATTTTAATTTTAATTTTAATTGTAATATGAGTTCAATCATACTATCTCATATCCAAGAAGACTCTTTATTAAACTATTAACCATACAAAATTTTAATTGTAATTTCGTATTCTATACAAATAATAAATACTTGACCAATGGAAGCTCAAAAATATTATTATATTAAACAATTTAAAATATTTTAGTTTTTCTATTTTTATTTTTATTTATAATACCATAACTTTTTCCCGTGCATCGCGCGGGTGAATTACTAGTAATAATAATAATAATAATAATAATAATAATAATAATAATAATAATAATAACCAAAACATATTATATGTCTCAATTCATATGATGTCTAAGTCATTTATTTATTTTTATTTCAATTTTTGTGTTTTAATAAATAAATATATATATATATATATATATATATATATATATATATATATATATATATATATATATATATATATATATATATATATATATATATATATATATATATATATATATTGCTTCCATTGGTCAAGTATTAAATATTTTTATAGAATACAAAATTACAATTAAAATTAAAATTAAAATTTTGTATGGTTAATTGTTTAATAAAGAGTCTTCTTGGATATGAGATAGTATGATTGAACTCACAACGGTGGGATACCAAGTATTTATGCATGAACCATGAAAAAAAATTCAAGAAATAGATAGCCAGAAGTGTAGTTTTTAAATATTTATATTCTTTTTATATAATGCACTGTCTGCATTTCACAAGATCATAATATAATCTCTAATTATATGCATATTCAAATAACATATAGAGATAATTTACATTTTTTTTTTGAAAGGATAGAGATAATTTACATAATTACATTGATTTATTCTTAATTGTATTTCATCTATATTATAATTTTCACAATACGAATAATAATTAAGATAATTACATTTGGAAAGCAAATTTCAAATTTTGAATGAGTAAATCTAACTGAACACATTTTTTACATGATTATATAATATATAGATATTTTATTTTTTCAAAGTACATTTTTTATATGATTATATAATATATAGCTATTTTATTTTTCAAATATTGTGCTTCTTTTTTTTTTTTTTTTATAATAAAGGATGTTGTGGCATTAATTGTAACATTAATTACTTCCCAAACCATATAGCTTTATTATAGTTATAAGATATATATATATATATATATATATATATATATATATATATATATATATATATATATTGCTTTTTAAATGTTGTACACTTCATTATTTTTTAACAAAATTATTCTTATTACGTTTTTTAATAGACAAAACTACATTTAAACCTTTATAACTCTGTTTTAAATTAATAAAATCTAATATTTATGACTTCATTACTATTATCATACATGCATGCACCTAAATCTACCATATCTTTTTCTTCTAATTTAATTATCATGTTATTGAAATTATCATATAGAAATTAATTTAATGATAGATTATATTTAATTAAATATTTATGAATGTCAAATTATATGTATTTATATATAATGCATATATTATTTGTGTAAATATATACCAATATATGTAGGTGTTAGTTTAGTAATATAGATTTTTTTTTTTAAATTTTATTTTTGTAAATATAAATTTTATAAAAAATGTTTATTTTATATATATGCTTAAAAAAATATTAGCCAATGACCTTGTTGGTCTAGTGACATGAAGTGATTCTCCCATATGAAAGGTCATGAGTTTTTGCCCTAGTGGAGGCGGTATTGACTCTTTGACCTTCAATAGGTTGATAAAGTATATATGAATAGATACTACATTATAACAGTGCACGTGTGTGGTGTATTATATATCACTTTTTGTTTTTCCATTTAGGTATAAATTTTAGTAATTGAATATTATCTTAACTATTTATTATTCTTAACTTATTCATTCATTGCAAAATATTTATTTTAATCTTTTAACAACAACAACACCAATGGTGATGAGCCTTTTGTTTTTATATTATTATTATAACAATTAAATTAAGGTACACAAAATGAAATTTGTTTCAATTTTTTAATTCTTTTTTCAATTCTTTTCTTTCGGTAAGAATTAAAATATAATCATGTTTATTTAATTTGATTTGTTTCTTTCAACTATATATATATATATATATATATATATATATATATATATATATATATATATATAGAGAGAGAGAGGCGGGTTCAGGTGCGGCAGTGTCTTACGGTGCGGTTATTTCTTACGGTGCGGCAACACCAATAGTTCACCAAATATGCACCATCAACGTTAGGAAATACACCACACAAAACAGAGTAAACAGAGCCTTGCATCACCAAACACACACCATTAGGTGTGAGTAAAAACACCATACACTGTTCGGAAATACACCATTGGGGGTGGTGAGTTATATGGTGTGTTTTTTTGAGTCTGTGGTGTATTTTGTGATGTTTTATTACATTTCATTGGGGTGTGTTTTTATTACACTGTTGGTGCATATTGTTAACACTGTTGGTGTATTCTGGAATTTGACCGCACCGCCGCACCGTAAGACCCCGCCGCATATGAGCGCTCTTCTATATATATATATATATATATATATATATATATATATATATATATATATATATATATATATATATATATATATATATATATATATATATATATATATATATATATATATATATATATATATATATATATATATATTAAACCTATTAATTTTTTGAATCTTCATACTAAAAGAATATGAATGTCATACTATAATTATTTTAAGAATACATCGTCTTCTCTTTATTTAAATACACCATGTCTGTTGTTGTAGCATAAATTATTTTTTTTTTAAAGTCCAAATCTATATTGCTTTAATTAAAATATATACATTTTATTACAAGTTTTTTTTTTTTTTTGAAAGCTAAATGAATCATATTGCATTAGCCACAACGGGCTCAATAAAAGAAGGAAGTACATCCCTCCAAAGAGAACGTGCTGAGACCGCACTTACATGCTTCGCTAAGGAATGCGCCACCTGGTTGGCGTCCCTACTAACAAAATAAACTAATGTTCCAGGCATGGATAAAATTAAACGTTTACAAGACAGTAAAACATAACCAACATAAGTACGAAAAGAACTAGCATGGGTAAGACCCGAAATCAAAATTGAACAATCCGTGTAAATTCTGCCACCAGAGTACCCATTATCCTTCAACCATGAGAGAGCTTCACACATTGCCATTGCTTCCGCCAGGAGTGGGTTATACGAACAAGCCATAGGACCACTAGCCGCCGCCACAAAGGAACCGTCGTGGTCCCGAACAACAAAGCCGTAAGCTGCCGTGTGGTGTGGACCATGGAAACCTGCATCCACATTGCAATGGAAGGCAGCTGCTGCGTGAGGGACCTGGGATGACACGGTCGTGGACTGCCCCAGGCGAACACTGTTTCGCCGCTGCTCACTGTCCACCCATGCCTTCCACTTCGCCGAATTGGAGCGGAGTAGCAAATGCGGAACAGGCAAACGGCACTCCCATACCGCCGAGTTCCTAGCCGCCCAAAGGTCATGAAGCAAACCACAAATCTAGCCTTGTGTATCACGAGTGTAGCCTGCCGTACCTCCAAGCCATAGCTCAGTCCATTGCATAAAACTCCTGTTGTCAAAAGAGGGGATTGGTAATTGAGAGGCATGCCAAACATTAATAGCATATGGGCATGAACATAAAATATGCATGACACACTCCTCATTCACTCCGCATGAAGGGCATATATTTAAAAGATCCACCCTCCTAATCAAATTGTCAAGGCAAAATATTCGAGAGGGCTCTCCACAAGAAGATTTTCCATTTGGGGGGGACTTGTAGGTTCCAGATATTGATCCACACAGAAGAGGGTGGAGCATTTAAAACGCCCAACCTCCTATAGCCATCCTTAACAGAGTAGCTTCCCCTTAAATCCCCTTCCCAGAACCACATATCCTCATAGTCCATATTAATAGGCAGCTGCGTTATCAACATAGCATCCCGCGGAATAAAAAACGGATGTACAAACTCCCCATTCCACCTACTCGTGGGGCTATCGATCAGGTCCGAAACCAAGGCTTGGTTGTTAATCACCTGATTCGTGCCAACAAAAGGATTCTGGGTGTCAGGGAGCCATGGATAAGACCATACCTGGGTCATTCTGTCGTTACCAATCCTACGTCTGCTTCCGGATTTGATCAAATCCTGACTAGCCATAATGCTCCTCCACACATAACTCGGATTACCACCCAAAGTAGCCTCATAAAAGGTAGAAGTCGGGTAGTACCTTGCTTTAAAAACCCGGGCCATTAATGAACCTGGGCTAGTAAGCAAACGCTACCCTTGCTTGCCCAACAGGGCCAGATTAAACTCATGCAACCGTTTGAAACCCATTCCACCAAAATTCTTGGGGGTACACATCCTGTCCCAGGCCAGCCAATGAATGCTACTGTCCGAACCACTCTGCCCCCACCAATACCTGTTCATCAACCTTTCCAACGAAATACATAAAGATTTAGGGAGCAGGAAAATACTCATGGTATATGTTGGCATAGCTTGCGCAATGCTCTTCAAAAGAACCTCCTTACCCGCCTTGGACAGCAGCCTCTTATTCCATGACCCAAATCTTTGCCTCAGCTTCTGCTCAACATAATCAAAAACAGTCCTCCTGTTCCTGCCAATAACAGAAGGCAGAGCCAGATACTTCCCAAAATCATCAGCCTGAGAAACCCCCAAGGCCCCCGAAACCAGCTCCCTAATCCCTCCTGAGTATTACGGCTGAACGAAATACTGGACTTGTGAAAGTTAACCGCCTGCCCAGAGAAAGTCTCATAGACACCCAGACACTTCTTCACCTCCATAGTCTCCTGCAGATTAGCTTTAAAGAAAAGCAGACTGTCATCTGCAAAAAACAAGTGTGAGATTGGCGGTACCCCCCGGGCTACCCTGCAACCATGAATAAGACCCTTAGCCTGGGAGTCCTGCAAAAGTAGGGATAAACCTTCTGCACAGATAATAAACAAATAAGGAGACAAGGGGTCTCTCTGCCTTAATCCCCTCGTAAGCACAATCTCCTCCGTAGGCCTACCGTTAACCAGCACCCTATATCGCACCGTTTAGACACACATCATCACCAGCTGTACCCATTTCGCATCAAAACCCAAACCCATAAGCATATCCCTCACAAAAGACCACTCCATCCTATCGTACGCTTTGGCCATATCAAGCTTTAGAGCCGCCCACCCCACCTGCCCTAACTGCTTCCTCCTCAAGTAATGGCCAACCTCGGATGCAATTAGGATATTATCCGAGATTAATCTACCTGGAAGAAAGGCACTCTGGGAGTCTGATATAATGCCTTCTAGCAAAGGCTTCATACGGTTAGCTATCATTTAGGCCATAACCTTATACAGCACATTGCACAAAGCTATTGGCCTCAGATCAGACACATACTCAGGGGCACATTTCTTGGGGATCAAGACAATATTTGCATCATTCAAACATGTAGGAAAAGATGACTGGGAAAGACAATTAAGTACAAAAGCAGTGACATCCTTACCAATGACATCCCAGAATGACTGGTAGAAGCCAGGATTCATACCATACGAACTTGGTGATTTATCCTTGCCCATAGAGAACAAGGCACAGCACACCTCCTTGGGTTCAAACGGACGCAGCAAATCTACATTCTGAGCATCGGTCACTCGTGGCTGCATAGACTCCACACTGAAAGAACCCGGATTCCCATCAGAAGCAAAAGTCTGCTTGTAATAAGACATGACCAGAGAATCTAAAGCGTGACCCTCCCTCCAGACCCCATTATCATCCTCCAACTTCACAATAACATTCTTTTTCCTCCGGTGCGACGCGTACTTATGGAAGAACATGGTATTCCGGTCATCCCCCTGAAGCCAGTGCTGCTTAGCACGCTGCCTCCAGAAAGCCTCCTCCTGGGATAGAACCAAATTCAAACGATTATCCAGATGCGCAAACTATGCTAAGGAAGTAAGATCCCGACAACCTCGTAGGGCATTCATCTCCTTCGTAATCTCTCCAATCCGCTTCCCAAACTTGTGATACTGGTCCCCACCCCACCTTTTCAGCCCCTTTCCACACAACTCGAGTCTTGCCTGCAAATTCAAACCAGGTGAACTGGACCACTCCCGTTCCACAACCTCCCTACAACCATCATCCAACAGCCACGAGTTCTCAAAGCGAAAACCACGTAGTCGGCTAGTATGCACAGCCCCATAGATATCCAGGAAAAGAGCAGTATGATCCGACGAGTTTGTACGAATATTGAACAACCTCGCCCTATCATAACTATCCAGCCAGTCCATACAAGCTACCACCCTGTCCAGCCGCCCCTCCACCCAGTCCACAGTTCCCTTACCACGTTCCCAAGTAAAAGGGTATCCAATCATAGGAAGAGACAACAAACTACAATCCTCCAGAGCCTCGCTGAAACCTTCTATCAAACTATTCGGGTGCGGCAACCTCCCCCTCTTCTCAGACTGCACCAATAAATCATTAAAATCCCCCAAAACCACCCAAGGTAACTCAGAAGCCCCCTCAAGTGATCTCAAGAAATCCCAAGCAGCCCTCCTCCTGTTCCTCTGTGCGTAACCATAATAACAACTAAGCCGCCATTGTGGCCTCCCTGGGAGAGACACCACAAGATCGATATGATTACAGGAATAACTGATCAAACTGGCATAATTGTTTTTAGCCCACAAAAAGCAAAGTCCCCCCCTCCGGCCGTCATTGTCCACATTGAAGCACCCCTCAAAACCCAACTTTACACGGAGCCTCTTAGAATGACTCCCATCTACCATCGTCTCCATCAAAAACACAAACTCCGGCTTCCTTCTGGACACAAGGTCCTCCACCTCACGAACTGTCCGTGGATTGCCCAAGCCACAGCAGTTTCAAAATAGGGTACTCATTGGGAGCGGCGAGCCTGGTCCCCAGGTCCCACCAAACGTGTCGAACTAGAATCCACCTGCCTATCCATCCCCGCATCCACCACTCCACCATCCACCCCCCCTTACGCCTTTTCGGATCCACCCGCACCCCCATATCAGCCCCCGCGACATCTACCGGCAGATCAACCACAGCAGTCTCCGGCAGCTGGCCGGAATTACCTCCAGACACAACCTGCTCCGCGGCCCCCACAACACCCCCTTTCGGCAGACGGCGCACCACCGGACTGGGCACCCCCACCGGAGCTCCCCCATAACCAATCACACGCCGGCATTCCTGCCCAAGTTGAAACCACCTATCCCCCAAAACCTTCGCCGGACCCATACCCCCGCCCTCAGACTCGGGCCATATAAATACTAGTTCGGCTTCAACGGCGATCGCCTAGCCTCCAAGCAAAACTTATCAGTGTGGCCTAACTTGCCATAGAAGAAGCAAACCTCTTCAACACCTTTCTCTTCTAGATACCCAAAACCCACCATGGAAATGAAGAAGAGATTCGTAAAGATAGCAAACCAAAGGAAGAATATGAAAGAAAGGGTGAAGTCTTACCGTGATTTTTTTTCTAGGAACACTAAAAGATGAATCTTGCTTTAATTCTTGAAGATGAAATGAAGACCAATCTTTGAATGAGGAAGAAGGTGAATATGGCGTGAAGGAGAAGTAGGGAAGAGAGAGAGATTTGTTTTGTCTAGACAAGATAAGTCTTGAATAAATAGGATATGATAGATATACATATTGCATGTATTAGGGTGAATGATTTAATAAGAAGTGGACTTGGTTCAATACATAACAATTATACAAAGTTAAGAATTAGTGATGGGCCAAATAATTCTAATAACAAATAAATAAGTAGGATAAGGAGAAAGCCCATAATACTAAGAATTGAATGTCTTACAAAGAATATATATGGACTAGTATAAGGAATTGGGCTTTAATACATAAATATAGGCTAGGGATTTATTTATTTGAAGAAATTGGGCCACAAGAAATAATTAAATCCCTTACAAGAATAGTTACGGGATATAATTTTTAGAATGAAAAATACAGGGTGTCACAGCAAAAGTCTGACATCTCACATACCGTCTGGAAAATCCGTTGGTCTCTACTTGCTGGTCCATAAGCATTTGTAAATAGGTTTCTCTCGAACAGAACTATTTTCTCATGCCTATAAATACTACCCTTTTCACTTACTAAAGAAAAAAAGAGGCTGGTCATTCTAAGAAATTCTAGTGAGAAAAAACTATGAAATATCAAGTGTTTGCGACCAGTGTTGTTGAGAAGAAAGATCAAAGCGTAAAAGTTTACATCCAGATATTTGGAAGTCTTGTGTTGTTTCAAAGTGCTTCATTCCAGATCCAAACAATCCAAAGCTACCAGTTGGAGAAGAAGAAAACCTATTTCTTCAACACTTGTAAACTCTACTCGTAGAAATACAAAGAGGTGGAGTAAACACTTGGAGTTGAAAAACCTGGTGGTTCAAGTTTACGACCAACTTTGTGTTCAAGGAGTAAACTTGGTGGTGTTTTGTACTAAAGGGAATTAGTGCAAACCTTCACGTGTTGTAAAGAATAGTGGAGTAGGCTTCGTTAACAGCCAAACCACTATAAACTCTCCCTCCCTCCCTCCCACCCTCCCTCCCCCTCTCCTTACTGCTTTATTTTTGCATATCTATCACGATTAAACTAACGTTTTTACCGAGCAAAATCAAACGTGCAAAGAATATTAAAAAGGGATAAAACTAATTTCCGTTGTGCAAAAACTCTGAAAGTTTAGTTAAGGATATCCTTTGGGTGAACTTAGCTATTCTCGAAGAAATTTGGTTAGTGTTTGATTCAAACAAGGTTGTTTTGTCAAAATCAGGGATGTACATAGGCAAGGGTTATGTACTAGATGGGCTTTTTAAGCTCGATGTAATAACCGTGATTAATAAAAACGTTAATAGTTCAACGCACTTACTTGAATCTTCGTGTTAGTGGCATGGTAGACTGTGTCATGTTAATTTTAATTCAATACGTAGATTAATTAACTTAGACCATATTCTTCCATTTCAAATTAATGATAAGCACAAATGTGAGATTTGTGTTGAGACAAATCAAACGGAAGTTCCATTTAAATTGATTAAAAGGATAACAGAACCATTTGAGTTAATCCATAGCGATGTAGTAATAAATATTTTCTCACATTTATCGATGACAGCACACGATACTGCTATGTGCATTTGCTTAATTAAGAGCAAAGACGAAGTCGTTGATAAATTAGTTATTTATAAGAATGAAGTGGAAAACGTAACCAACTTAATCGGCAGATTAAAAAGGTTTTTAAGAGATTGAGGTGGTGAGTACGAAGCACCTATTGGTGACTTCTTCATGAGTGTAGGCATCATATACGAGCTTATGACACTTTACGCACCTCAATCGAACGGTGTTGCGGAACGGAAAAATCACACATTGAAAGAGATTATGAATGCGATGTTGATAAGTTCGGGTCTATCTCAAAGTATGTGTGGTGAGGCTGTTTTGACAGGAGAGGTTCTCCGCAAAAAGCTTTAAAAGACTCCTTATGAGCTGTGGAACAGTAGGAAACCTTCCTACCCGTACCTTAAAGAGTGGAGGTGTCTTGCCAAAGTATTGGTGTCAACACCTAAGAAAATAAAGATAGGTCCTAAAATTGTGGACTGTATCTTTATTTGCTATTTGCTATGCACATAACAATAGTGCGTATCGATTCTTAGTACAAGAGTCCCATAATCCGGACATACATTAGAACACGATAATTTGATTGAGGAATGCATTAATTTTTTTGAAGATGTATTTTCGTGTTGGTCCAATGAGGGACCTAGTACGTCGAAACGCACATTCCAACTCACAGCAACTCTATCACCCTTTCCCAACTCTATTATTGAATGAAAATGAGTTTTATGTACCACAACTCTTTTCTTTTTTTTTTTTTTTTTGAAAAGTCGAAACTTTACTTTATATTAGATGCTTTAGGTCCGTAATGCCTTGTACTAGATCAGATATACCTACTATACCTACTTTTATTTACTAGTGGTATAGAAGAGATGTATACTATAATGTTGATTGTAAAAAAATTTTATTATTAAAAATAAAAAAAAAAGTAGTGATATTGTAATATATATATATATATATATATATATATATATATATATATATATATATATATATATATATATATATAATCAAATAAAAAAGCCTCAACAGGTAAAAAAATGCGCACAATTTTTAGTTGTACATGCAATCCAAATCAACAGCCCAAATTGAATTTTAATTAAAAACACGTGGTGGCATATTTGTAACTTTGAGCAAGTAAGTCAATTTGTCTTTTTGTATTCGAGTGCACATTTTTTCTTCTTCAAATGTATATTTTTCATTCTTCCAATGCATATTTC